TCAGACGCCTGTGGAATACCCAATGGAAACCAGCGGGATAGAGCAGATGGACGTGACGATGAGTGGGGAAGCTTCAGCCCCGCTTCCCATACGACAGCCGAACTCCGGGCCATACAAAAAACAAGCTTTCCCCATGATCTCCAAACGGCCAGAGCACCTGCGTATGAATCTATGACAGCGATGCTTTTAAAGAGTTTAAGGCAAAAAAGGTGGGAGAGGATTTATGAGTTCCTGCAGGGTGAAACAATAAGGCTGGACATGACAGTCTCAAAGAGTCAGTGTCATTACACAGAACACTCTGGACAGAGGGAAAAATAAACCTGGATTTTTAAAAATCAATCAATGGTGCAAAAAAAAAACAAAAACAAAACTTAAGCAAAATAGTATTGCAGAACTCTTAGGCACATCACTTAATTGGTTCCTAGCGACATCTTCTCAACCTTATCAAGGATTTTCATGTTAATGGCGCAAAACTGACAGTATTAAGGGTAGGGTGTTGCTTTTGAATCACTGTTGAGTTCTGATTGTGTCGAAGAAGGGTTATCCTTTCATTAGGCAAAGTATGAAATTGCCTGTAATACTTGCAACCAAGGACAAATTAGCATGCAAGCTTGGTCAAACTTTTTCCAGCAACATGGAATCAAAGACAAAAGAAACTTATCAATTGATGTTCTACGTGCAAACAACCTGAATCTTTTTTTTATATAAATATATATTTTTCAAATAGATTTTTGATTCAGCTCATCATGGAAAACAGCCCAAACTTTAAAATGCGAAATTATTGGTTGGTGTGAAGAAAGCCAGACAACTTCTGTTTCTTCTCTTGATGAAATAATAAAAATGCAAATGAATCATTGTTAACCACAGCTGTGGCTCGTTTGAGGGATTGGGGTGGACCTGGGGTTTATTTTGAGTAACCCAGCTGCAATACCTGTCTGTAATACTAGGGAAAAAAAAAATCTATTTAATCATTTCTATTTGCAGTACTGCTATGTGCTAAGCTTAACTGGAAGCCCTGGGCTGGGCATAAGTTGTATGTCCTACATTTCATCCTTGTCCTGGGCCTGCATTGCACTGGAAAAATATCGCCACCTGTTTCCTATGCCAGTATTTGGTTCAAGACGCCAAATGTGTTCAGCCTGTGGCTGAGGAAGGACAGAAGAGAGTCAGGATAAAATGCATACTGAGGGCGGCAGAGCGAGGGAAATAGGGAGACCCAGGGGAAGAGGGTGTTGCCGTAGTCCACTCTCTATGTCTAAACTCTTTACAGCAAATTGGTAAGGTTTTAAGTTTTACTTTTTACTGTTTTTGCTGTCTACCTTCCTTACATTTTTTTTCCTCAACAGTTTTAAAAGGGAAAAACGTTCTTTTCTCCTATACTGGGGCTACATTTTTTGATTGTAAAAATATTTGATGGCCTTTTGATGAATGTCTTCCACAGTGAATAAGAAAACTTAGTGGCTTAATTTAGGAAACATGTTAACAGACATTATGTTTTTGAAATTGTAACAAAATCTTCGTAAGTGATTTACCAGTACACAGAATAAAAATAAAAGTAACTTTACCTTTCTTAAATACTTCCTGCCTTAAAGAGAGCATTTCCATGACTTTAGCTGGTGAAAGGGTTTAATATCTGCAGAGCTTTATAAAAATGTATTTCAGTGCATATTGGTATAATAGATGATCATGCAGTTGCAGTTGAGTCTTAATCACCTCTTTTTGTCTTTTATAATGTCTCTAGTCTGAGTGTGCAAAGTCAATTTATAATATTTTGCAACCCTACAGTTTTTTTTTTAAATAGATGCTGCTTGCTATGTTCTCCAAACTTTTTTGAGCCATAGGATCCAAGCCATAAAATTCTTTATGCATGTTGAATTCAGTCAGAAAAGAGCAAAGCTTTGCGTATTTAAATGGGAATTCAAGTGAGATGAGATGAAATCCTATGACATTAAGCAAAAACAAATCCATGAAAAATGATTGGAAATATATCTTTTCAATTGTGGCAATAAATGAAAGAGTCGGCAACAGTTCATCTTTGGACAGAAAACGTTTTTTTTAATCACTCCTTGTAATACCCCCTTTTCCCATTATTGTAGGAGCCTACCGAGAACTTTATAACTCTAGCTAATGAATTAGTAGCTACTATAATGATAAGGGCAGAAATTATATTTAAAGTGCAGATTTTTGTATAGGCTCTATTTCAGACTGTAAATGGCTTGTGATACTGATACTTGTTTTCAAATGTATTTACTAATTGTGTTGACTGCCTGACCAAATTCCAGCAAAATTTTTACACCAAAATATTCCTTCTCAGTCCTATTTGCTACTAACATTTGCACTGTGATTGGCTGGCTATAAACACCCCATAGTTAACCATTTTCATAATTAATACTGCTAGCAATAGTGGCAAATACTGCAACTTTTCTGCATAAAAAGCATTAATTGCACATCTATCATCCACACAAATACAGCTTTCCAAGTTAACATGAAGGGAAGTTAATTTCCTATGCTGTGGCAGGTTTATTGAGAAATTGTGTTTCATAAATGGTTATCCCTGCTGTGACTGTGAAAACATGTCAAGTGCCACTTTAGTGTCACAGACAGAAAGCACACACCTATGCAATATGGCTTGCCCTATATTTATTTGTAAAAATCCAAGCATAGTTTAAAATATATAATGTCAATATTACTAGTCTTGAGTTTCTAAGAGGGTTCTTTATGATTCTTCCAGGTAAGTGTATAAAAGAGATTAAGTGCTTTTCTTTCATCACGTATTTTCTTTAAAATCAGCTATTACAGGATATTTTTTAATTTTATATACATGCTGTTTTTTAATTAATCACTGAGAACTGAAGTTTACTAATTTTGATTTTATAAGGTTTGTAGCATTACAGAATAAACTGGGATTTATAAACCAGCTGTGATTAACAATGTAAAGTATTAATTATTGAACTTGAACCAGATTTTTTAGAAAATTATATTCTTTTCCCCTTTATGGTCTTAACTAATTTGAATCCTTCAAGAAGGATTTTTCCATACTATTTTCTTGAGATAGAAGATAATGAGGGTGGGGTAGAGGAGAATGCATGTATGATGCTCCATAAATTCAACATTCTTTAAGTAATAAATGATTATAAACAAGATTCATCTTCAATAGTGTTAATATACTGAGCCTTGGATTTTATATTTAATATAGGACCTAACTCTTTTGTTAACTCAGACATATGGTTCCTAGCTTACAAGGGCTAGATCTAAGATTATTCCCATGCAAAATGTTGAATTTATGAAGAATGGAATTAGAGACTTTGAAAATGGTTAATTTCTCAAATAATAACATCAATGTCTAAACATATACCTTTTTTCATAGGAGTAGACAGTAGCAAGCTGGACAGTTATAAAATTGTCATACCATAACCTGTGGTCTCTTGCTGATTGACATAAAACTTTCCTTGTGTGATTAATTCACCACTACAGCACAAATATTATCTCAGTGGATTATCTGAAATAACACCTGAAAGATCGGTTCATCTGTGTTTGCTCTTTAAACTATTATTTTTTCTTATCCAAAGTTGGCTTTGCATCTATCAGAGTAAATAAATTCTTCAGCTGCCTTATTAGGAGTGCTATGAGGGTAACACCTTTTCTGCTTTTCATCTTGTATTTAGTTTACTGTATTAAGTATTTGATTTCAGATTGAATGAATGTAAATAGAAATTAAATGCAAATTTGAATGAACATAATATAGAAGTGATTTTTTATTATTATCCTAAGATAGGGAGAAATAACTATCAGGTGCACAAATAGTTTCAATAATTTTTTTCATTAACATGCCAGATATGTTCAGGTTCTCACATTTAATAAACTACAGTTGACCCTTGAACAACATGGTTTGAATTGCACATGTCAACTTACACGCAGAAATTTTTTCAATAAATACGTTTGGCCCTCCATATCTGTAGATGCAGAAGGCTTATTACAGAATCAAGTTATATGTGGATTTTGACGGGGGTTGGGGAGGTGGTGATGGTGCCCCTAATCCTCACATTGTTCAAGGATCAACTCTACTACATATGTGAGGAATGACATTTGTAAAACTCTGCTGAGAAATTGCAGCTACTTAAAATATTGAGTACTGGTTTTATCTATTAATATTACACATCTGTGATTTCCAAGTTGAACTGGTAGCTTATTTTTAAAAAAGCTCATGTGAAAAGTTATATGAAAGCTAGCCTCACATAAAAACACTAGGAATACTTTCTTATGCTAAGTCAAGTTTGTTCGGTTGTCAACTACATTTGATTATTTGATGTGTAAACTACAAAATAATGTGCACAAATTTGTTTTTAACTGTCTCAAACTGACTTGACTTTATAAAATATACAGTGGTGACTCTTAATGCTGATGAAACAATCTTTAAGAAGGTGTTATCTGAATTCACAGTATAGATGGGTCTTTGAATTCTTATTCCCATTTTTGAGGTGAAGGAGTAGAAGTAAAAAAATGCTTCCATTTCATCAGTGTCATTAGTGGATGGCATAGCTCTATTACATTTTTTCCCCTTTTAAATTCATATATGAAATGCTTTCTTATCCCCCCTCCCCCCTCAAAAAAACAGGAAAAAAAAACACAACCCTGTCCACTGGGCACCTCCTTTGTTATTAATTATATTAAGAAACAAAGCTATCTATATAGCTTTAGAGTAAGTAGGTATTGTACAATAATAGGGTTGAAGTAACCCATGCAATAAGATGCTATTCTTGAGTTTTTAACAAGTCAGCTTGTTTATCTTCACTCCCAAATTCTAATCCCAAATTGCCTTTCACGCACATCCCTTGTATGCCTCAGTAACTGTTAGGAAGGTGATATAAGGCCAAGTAAGCTGGTTTCAGTATTTGCAATGTTCTCAAATGAGATAATAGTTAAATATATAATCACTGAATGTATAGAACAGGTGTTTATAACCCGGCCATATATACCTCAGGGAAAATGTTAAAATGTTATTTTTAATTTCTTTTATTGTTATTCAATTACAGTTGTTGCCATTTTGCAAATTAGGGTAGCCATACAGGCATAGAAGTGACTTAACCTGTGGCTGGTGGGTCACGATCCTTATTAATCTTATATGTTGATTTAGCCTTTGTCTTACCAACACTGCAAATTTGTTTTCTACCTCAATGTAAGTTCTTCCCACTGTCTCTTTCTTGTGTTCAAATTGATAGATGGTAATCAAGAAAATGTGCAGAGGCCTAGTACTCTAAACTTAGATATAACCACCACTTCAGGCTTCTGTTACAGATATTGGTTCCCCCTTAGAAGTTTCAAGGGGAGAGTACCCAATCCCTTTTTCCGCCACACTACACCAACACTTAAGAGGCAAACCACACAATCCAAAGATTTTGGTTACCTCTGAGTGCAAGCTTTAGTCTCCCGGGTAATGGCGATTCAAGCATTAGATGCCAAAACTCTTCTGAAGAACGTAAGTTATAAGAGAAATTCTTTTCCAAGATTTGAGTTTGTCATGTTTGTTAAACTATTCAGATCATCATGAAGCCAGCTATTTGTAATCCATGTGAATTATTTTAATTATTAAAACATTTTTTATCCTCACCTGAGGACATGCTTATTGGTTTGAGAGGGAGGGGAAGGGATGGAGAGAGTGAGAGAAAAAAATTGATGTGAGAGAGAAACATCAATCAGTTGCCTCTGTTACATGCCCTGCCCAGGGACTGGACCTACAACCCAGGCACGTGCCCTGACCAGGAATCAAACTAGTGACTTTTTGGTTTACAGGATGATGCTCCAACCAACTGAGCCACACAAGCCAGGGCTCCATGTCAATTATTTTAATAGTTACTTCAAGATAGTCCATGGCACTATACAAAAAGCAAGATCATGAACTGATGGCAGGATTGTAGGTAAGAGGTCCACAAACAATAAATTAAATCATCGGTTTTCATCAATTGCTTGTCATACTACAGAGAATAATGCAGTATTAAAATATATCACCCTCAGTAAATCTTTACTTAGAAAATCTGATTATTACAAGTAAAATAGAGCATTTAAAACTTTCATTTAAAAATACAACTTCTATGAAAATTTTTAAGAATTTTCAGAATGGGAATTATAAAAGTCAATCCTAAAGAAAATTCTTTCAGATAATGTGTATCTTAAAATATTGAGAAAAATATTCTTTATTCTGAAAACAATGTTAGGAAAGAATACCTGAGTTCCTCTAAGAACTAGTTCTAATTATCCCATTGCTTTTTTGGTAACGTTAATAAGAAAACACAGTTTAACACTGCAAATAATTAGGATTCAATGTTGCATATGCATTAGGTTCAACATTACATATTTTTTAAAATATGGGGTTCATTAAATCTTTTGATAAACTGGACTACAACACTTCAGTGTTTTGTGGCTTAATAGTTTCTACAACTTAATATATTTGAAGGTGTGATGAAGTGGCTCCATCTTTCCATTTGTTTATACGGTCTGAAATCACAGTTCTGCACAGTGGACATGTCTTCTCTCTGTTAAACCATAAGGTAATGCACTCTTCACAAAATATATGCTGCAAGGGAATTAAGAACTACATTTTAAACTTGGTAACAGTTTTATTTTAAATTCATCACATTGAAGACAATCATACTCTTTAGAGCTGAAAGGGATTTTGAAGAGCACTAATCCCTTCATTTTACAAATTAGAAAACAGTAAGTATGACATTCCAGAATAAAGGTCACTAGTGTTCTTTTGCCTGTACTATCCATTTAATCACTTTTAATCAAATACAAGCTATCCCTAGGTGATAACTTTAAGATCAAGTATAGTTCCTTAATGGTTTAATAAATTCACTGAGAGTAATTGCCAAAGTACAGGAAAGGGCCTCACTCAATCCAATTAGAAATGCTGGTATTTAAGACTAGTGTCCAGTTATTAAAAATAGCATGTTTTTAAATCACATTGGTAACCAATCTGCCATTTGAATTACTTTTTCCCTTCACATACTCCTTTGCATAAAAATCATCAGAACATAGCTAGATTAAGCTAATCTACTAAACCCCTAACCACAAATAAGAAATTACTAGTATGTGCCCTGAATGCTACTTTCTGCTAAACATTTTTTCCCCTTATAACATAAATGTGACTTTTACAAGTCACAGAGAAGTGTTGTATTTAGGTTGCTTAAGAATATAATTACCTGACAGATGAGAAGAATTGGCTTTTGAAATTCAGCTTGACATATTGAACAAATATCATCCACATCTGAACACTGTCTCTTGCTGGCAGCCACTCCATAACTCTATGAAGATAAGAAGTTCTGTTCATCTACAAGTTTCTTTCCTGTTCTTCTAATATGTAGGTCATGCTGTGTTTCTCAGATCTACTTGGAACTAGGCACTTGAAACTCTCAAAGGGTGCAAATACTTCACATGCAGAACCATGTCTTGATGGACTGCATTAAGGTAAACTCATTAAATACATAATATGATGTTGAAAGGTTTTTAGATTCACTGGATTCCCGAATAATGACAGGGCTTCAAATTCAGCATGGATTCAACTGGCTTAAGAGCATAAGCAATCTGAAATATAAGTGTTATAAAATCTACATCAATGTAATTAGGTGACCCTGTATTGCCAAATTGAGCCCACTTATTATCTATGGTAGTGGTTCAAAAAAAGCCAATCCAGAGCTTGGGCTGCCTGAATGTAATTCATGTGGAGAGGTTGCTTTAAAAACAGATTTCTAGCCCTGGCTAGGTGGCTCTGTTGGTTAGACCATTGTCGCAATATACCAAGGTTGCAGGTTCGATTCCTGACCAGGGCACATACAAGAAACAACCAGTGAATGCATAAATAAATAGAACAACAAATCAATGTTTCTCACCCTTCCTTGCTCTAAAATCAATAAATAAAAAAAGTTAACAAAAACAGCAACAGACGCCTGTGCTCCTTACTGGAAATTGATTCACTAGGTCCAGACATACAGGGATGTGACAACAGGAATCTGTAATTCTTGTAAGCTTTCCAGGCGAGTTCAATGTGGAGAAGGTTTGGGGATGACTAAACAGTGTCCTACTATTAAATCTAAAAATAATTGTAGTTACTATTCTTAATGCAAAGAGCATTTAGTACTAGGAAAGGATGATAATTGCAAATATCACTTGGGTAGAGTTATACTGTCAAAATTAACTGACTAAACAATAATGCAATTTGAATTTCCCTTCTAAGGTTCTAAAAAATTTACTGATCTTTTTACAATCCTTGTAACTTCCTCACCAAATTCAGTAGAACTTAGTTATTAACTAGATGTGACAAAATATTACAAAGGAGATCTTTTTCTTTTTAGAAATAATGGGGAAAAGGTGGCTAAAGGAGTAAGAAGTTCAGTCAGTCATGGTAAAGAGAGCAAAGCATGACTTAATCTGAAGCTATGATCTAAACAACTTTTACTAAATATCAGGGGTTAACAAAATCAAACTAAGACAATGGATAAAAAATACTAAGATTTTTTTCAGGTTACTGATGGATGACCTTGGTGCCAGTTTCCCTTCAGTGTTATGTAGCAGAGTACACTGCAGATACGTAGGCTGATAAGCTTTTAAACTAGCACTTCGGCATTCTGCAGACTCGTTTCTTGATGGCGACTGCCATTGCCCTAGCAAAGTTAAGGAACGTAATATATACATGTCCAGGATATATGTTCGTACGAGACTCAGGAGTAAATTAAAGAGGGTTGATGACTGTGATATTCTCTCTGCTTCACAGAGAAAGTATCAAACTATTTTCACACAAGCCTTACCAGATTAATTAAAGTGGCTGATACATAATGAATTGAATTAACCTGACCAAAGCTGAATTCTCAATTATATTGTATCTTGCCTAAAGAACGAAGTCTGAATAGTATGCAGGAAAACTCATTACATTACTATATCTTAGGGACAGGGTACCTTGACCAGTTAGTATAGTCCACTTTGGAGATACAGTCCCCTTTTTTTTGTTTTTTCAACATACATTATCATGTTGGCATTCTTTTAGTCAGATGCCCTGAGTCCTGACCATGTAATTGTTTAAGTACCCAATGCACTGCAAAATTGAGAATCAAACTCTGAATACTGGTGACCACAAAGGCTATAAATAGCAAATCAGCCTATGACACCCTTTTGTCTGCAATTTGTAACATCAGTGGAATCACATAATAAGTTTTAGACTGGAGCCTCAATTTATTATATTCCATGCTATAAACTTATTTGTGCATATAGAGTTAAGTATCAGTGGGGAAATTTTTCCAGTAAGAAAACTGCAAGGGACATGATTTTTGGTAATGAGTTCTTTCATACAATAAATTACAGTGGAAGTCTTTTCATAGAAGCTGAATACAGAGTTAGTGGGAATACACAAAGATGCCATGTGTAGATTAAAAAAGAAAGTGGAACAAAAGTTCACAATGAGATATTTAAGGAGATGTTTATAAGCCCTTAAGAATGGCAAGTGTTTAGAAGGGGAAGAAGCACATTCAAATACAGAAACATTATATCAACTATCAGGTTTATCAGGTTAATGTATAAGTCAAGAAACTGATCATAGATACTCCTGAATCATTCTCATAGCTCTAAGTGCCAAATTACTAGAAAAGTTTTAAAAAATAAATTCACATTTGTAAAATTGCTGAATTCAAAATTAAAATGAAGAAAGGTTAAAAGTGCTTTTAAAAAATTATTTATTTATTTTAGAGAGGGAAGGGAGGGAGAAAGGGAGAGAAACAGTGTGTGGTTGCCTCTTGCGCTCCCCTCTATTGCAGACCTGACCTGCAACCCAGACATGTGCCCTAGACCGGGAATTCAACTAGTGACCGTGGTTAGCAGGCCAGCACTCAATTCACTGAGCCACAGCAGCCAGGGCGAAAGTGTTTTGTTAAATGATTTAAAAAGTACTTACTGGTCGTGTAAAAAATATTTGCAAAACCCGTCTGAAATTTCTTAGATGTCCAAAAAAGTCCAAAAGCTGAAAGAGGAAATTAAATTAGAGATTATTCATTAATTCAAAAAGCCCTATCTGCTAAACCCAGAGTTTCAAGCTAAGGTGCCATAATATCAAATACTGATGATAATAATGTTCATCGCATATCACAACTCATTATTTCAGTCTAAATATATTTAAAGCCAATTATGGAATTTTTACCTAATTTATAGATTTCGGCCAACTCAACCCCGCCTCCCCAAAGTAAATTTGAATACGTACAGGTACAATTTGGTCAAGAAAAATAAAAAGTTAACTATATCAGAGACAAGGCAATTTTACCTGGTTCATGTGTTTTTAACATTCAGATTTTATAGTTTCATAAAGTGATTAAGCTGAGGGGAAAAGGCATAGAAGAAACAGGATATAATACTCCACTAGTTTCAGAATTATGTGTATGACAGATGCTACTGTTAGAAATGGGTATTTCTATTCTACTCCTCCCTTCCCCAGGGCATAGATAAGCCATGCTATGTGGAAGTCCACTGCCCCAATAAAATGTGAGAACCACTGGATTAAGATAAAGACATATTTCCATTTCTCCATGTCTAACTAGATATACAACTTATGTCCAACTAGTGAAGGAAGATAAATTGTAAAACAGTTAAAAAAGCAACAGTAAATAAAATCTGTAATCATCATGTGAATCATACAATGATAAGATTAATAATATTACCTACTTTTAATATGAGGTAGAGTAAAGCCAGCAGTATCCCAAGACTCCTTCTAGTTATATTACCAAACTCTCCATAACTTAGAAGGTAACGAAACCAAACTGGTATGGGAACAAAAGTTCGGTAATACTGACATAGTTCTTCTAAAAGCATATACCAGTAACCCTAAAAAGAGAGGGAAAAGAAAACATATAGTTTACCCATGCTACTTGTATATATTACACAATACATTATTTTGGAGTGAGAACATGATGAGTATAGGAAACAATCACAACTATAAATTAATCTTCATAATGATAATGGTTATGACTGACAATTTCAACCTGGTTCTCACATATTATAGTCACTGATTGGTTTGTTTTCAAAGAATTTCCAAAGAATGACAGTGAAAATGTTTTATGTATACTACAAGTGAAACTTATGTATGTATGTTTTTGCTGATAACAAAATCTTTTTTTTTTAGTTTTTACTGAATATGGGAAAAACACTGAATAACAGTACATAGTCAATTAATTGATAATGCCCTGAACTAGAACAACAGTACAAATCTAAATAATATTTTCCATATATGATGTGGGAATTGATTTTTTAGATGATTCTGAAGCAAATATAATTCTGACTTTTTAAATAGATTTATATTATGGTTCACGTCTTTGAGCAAATGGTTGCTATTCTGAGATAATAAAATTAGGCTGAGACTAGCATTAATGTGGTTTGCTAATATTGTACCAACAAAACATGTTAGTTTCTTACCTTGGATTTAAAAGGTGTGATGAAAGAAGGCACCAATAAAATAAGGCATTTTAAGCCCATGCAGAGGAATTTCAGAATGAAGTCTGTAATTCCAACAATCCAAAGTACTTCCCAGAAACTTGAATGGTCCAAAGTAGGATTTAAAAAAATTAAGCTACCAGGAGAAAAACATCAAAACTTTAACAGAGCAACATACAAAGGTATTCATATGGGCTTTTAATTTGCTAATGAATTTTTATTTTGATGTGTAAAAAATATGAATATGAAGTTAGAGTTCATATAAACAAGATAATTTCACTTATTTTAAAGAGATTTTTAAAAATGTTTGAATTTCAGATATTTTCTCCATAGTATAAAGAACAGAACAGTCTTCCTAACTTGTCATGGTTGTTACCTTTCTAGCCTGTAATCTAAAAAAATTCATTAATATTAGATATCAAACATTCTCTCAACCAACTCTAATCAGGAGTCCATTCCCTTCTTTTCACTGAATTTTTTATCTAGATCACTAACTCCCTCATCTTGCTAATTCAAAGGTCATGTCTCTTTTTCAGTTTCCTTTCCTCAATTATTTTCTTCCTAGACTTCTAACACTACACTCCCTACTTGTTCTCTTTTGTGACTGATGATAGTTCCTTCTTAAGTTTCCTTTGTTGCACATGTGGGCAGGCCCAGTCCAGGGCCGTCTTCTCCAACTACTTTCCTGGTTAGTCTTGGTTTTAAAGATATCAATCATATGCTGATAACACCAAAATTTATAGCCCTAATCTCATGACATATATCTATGATCACTTTCTTACAAGTTCTACATGGCCTCTCAAATTTAATATGTTCAAAACAAAATTATGGATTTCCCCCTAAAAACCAGCTACTTTCCCAGTCTTTCCGAGCCTAGTAAATGGTACCACCATCTAGCCAGTTGCTTATACTAAAATCCCAGGTGTCATCCTTATTTTACTCCTCTACCTACCCACCCAATCCAATCTGAGTGATATTAGCTCCACCTACAAACTATATCCAAGATTGTCCACATCTCTCCTACACTTCTAATTATCTGATTAAACCCAAAAATTCAGAACACTTCCATCTAGTAGTTGTTAAGATGAAAACTTAACTACTGTCCTTTAGCAAGTCATCTCCTTACTCCCAGAAACAAAGATCAAGTGTTATCACACAATGTGTGTATATATATATTAAAATATCATGTTGTACAACTTAAATATATTTTTGTCCAAAATAAATAAAAATAATAAAAAAGACCATCACCAATATAAGTAAATTGTACTTAATAACTACTGGTTATAGAAATACAAATTTAAGTATCAAATATCAAATATTTATTGAGCATCTGCCAGGAGCCAAGGCACTGGGTATACAAATCTGAGTAAGTCACTTACAGCTTTCAGTCTTGAAAGGAGACAGGTAAAAATTGAACTCTAACAATAAGTATGTGCAAATAAAATATAGGCAAAGTGCAAAGGAATATATTACATAAAAAATGTGATTGTGTACTTGGACCTCTAATTACCTGTGATAAAGTGACTGAGAATGAAAGGTGTAATATAAAAGAACAGAAGATCCTGCTAAGAATACCAGTAACCAAGCACACTGAATCTTTGAGCACCTTTCCTGAAAAATAAATAATTTTATAATTTGTTACTTTGGATTATGCCAGAATTTTAAATATCATTTTTACTTTAATGGCTAATGTATTAACTTAAAATGTTTTACTAGATAATTAAACTTATTAAAAACATAGAATGTTAAATTGTACATCATCACACTCCTTTATATATCTTTAGTGAGTAAAACAGAACTCATATTTAAACATATTTTTAAAATACAAGTTACTTCATTGTATAAAAATACATTACCTATGTTTCAAAGAAGCCAAATCTACAGGCTGACACAGGACCCACCCAAATGCAAGCTTTACCTCCGCAGCTCCCTATTTTTGTCTCCCTGACAAAATAAAATGTTTAAAAATGGCATTTAAGCTACCAGGGTTTATAATTTTTAGATACTCAGACATCAATAAGAATTTAATAAGGTAATTTGTTTTTTAAAATTAAGTTTTTAATTTTTTAAAAAAGATTTTATTTGCTTATTTTTAGAAAGAGGGAAAGGGAGGTTGATTGATATGTGAGAGGTACATTGATAGGTTGCTTCTCGAAGGCCCTCAGCTGGGGAACTGGCCTGAAACCCAGGCATGTGCCCTGACTGGGAACCAACAGGTGACCTTTTGATCTGCACGCTGGTGCTCAATCCACTGAGCCACACCAGCCAGGCCTAAAATTAAGTTTTGATTACTAATTTAATTAAAAGTTTTACTAGCATTAAACCCTGAATTAAATTTTTAATAGTTTGATAGGTTCTAACTACAAATTTCTAGGTAAAAATTCATGATCCTTTATACAGATACTGCCCTTTAAAGTTGCTTGAAGGTGAAATTCTATAAACTAATCCTGGTTTTTCCAATAATTTATATGAATATCACTCTTATAATTTATGCTAGGGAAAAGCTTCTTGAGTTTAATTTTCTTCAAATAAGAGAGATGTAAATAGTTCAATACCCATTTATTCAATGTACATTTTGTTTACTTTAAATCTGACAGTACAATAGCTAAAATTTCTAATGACAATTATATTATTGTGGTTCAACTATCTCATAAAATATGAAGGCACTCGACAGATCACATCAAATAGAGCATTCTAAACTTTTTAATCCTTCTGTCCAGTTTTTCTTTATCAGGAACACAACTTACAAAGATTACTAAGGTGAAACAATTCAGATAATTTATGCCATGTCATTTAGATAACAAAACTTAATATATTATAGATGTTAACAATATATTTAAATTTGTCAAACTCTCTTAATTCCTATTTCACTCAAATATGAGTACATAATCTACAGAGAAACATTTAGTAATTTTTTTAGTTGTTGGTTATACTTACTCTTAGAAAAACCTGATTTACAATGCTTTTGTTTGCATACATAAAAGTTGTAAGCAGTCCAATTCCAAGAGAAATTCCTGTTAGATAATAAGTTCCAGTTAATTGCAAGAAAAATAATCGAGCCAACACAATGACATGAATTTAAAGGAAACATTTACAATTTTAAAAGCTAGCAGAAAATAAGTAACTAAAATACATAAGTTAAAGTAGGTTACCAATAAATACTGAATTTATCAATGAAACAATTCAGTATTTTATTATACCCTACCTGTTATATGCTGCATAACAAGTTTGACACCCAGAATCAGAATGTATGGAAGACTTTTTTGCAGCCACTTGAAGAGATACTGGAATTCTGAGAAGGAGTTGCTACTGTGATCTCCAGATTCCATGGAAGTATCATCAGGCTGCCCTGCTTCGTTATGGGAGTGATTCCGTAAGCGACTATGTACACATCCATGTGTACAGCCTTGGATACCTGACCTTGTACTTCTGGAGCTTCGGTTTTCAGCACATTCTTTAGGTATGGAGTTTATTTGAATATGCACATCTCCAGAATGAAGACAAGAACTTTCTCCTGTCAATCTTGTGTGGACACATTGGGAGGCTGAGGCATCCTCACTGCCTGCAGCTCCTGGAGGACTGTGCAATTGGCTACAGTTGGCTTGCATGACCCTTGAATACTTTTTCTGTGATCCAGATTTCTTTGCTGCAGGTCTCTGTCTTCTGAAAATCAGAGCAGAAAATATTCTAAGCGAACAGTTCACTAAAGGAGAGGCTGATAATCACAGATAAATTATTTTCAGGTTATCTTTCACTTGTTACTAGACTCCTCCCTTAATGCCAAGGCTCAGCTGCCCTACACAAACTATATTTTAGGGAACATCTGCTATAAAAGAAGTTGAACTTCTGATGCCTCCAGCTCTCTAGTGAGAAGCAATCAGCAAAATAGAGTATGTGTGCCCCATAGATATGAATAATCTGAGCACTAGTACTCATTCATATTTTAATACTTCAGTGCATTTACTCTGCCCACCAAGAGCAGTTGTGTTTCCAATGCAGATACAACATTTCCTAAGAATCATATTTTTTTAATGCTTGGAAAGTCTAGGGAGGAAAAAAGTCAATGCCTTACTAAGTATCATCATGGAGAACTAATAAACATTTCACTTAGGTGACCTACACTTGTTTCATGCTGAAACAGCTTTCCCAATGGTAATAACAAGGCTTCCAGTAAATACCAAGAGTTATTACCTCTCCCACCCCAAATATTACCCAAATATCTTTAAGTTAGGGAGACTTGGCGAGTCACCATTTAATTACTAGGTAACTCTAGTCTTAATAAGTATAGTAACACAGTCTGCCCATTAAAAATGCCATCACGGCGCGGGGGGGTGGTGTGTGTGTGTGGGGGGGGGTGTCACGAAAGAGGACACCGGCAGGAAAGGATCCCTAAGATGACCAGTAGAGCAGCCTTCGAGGATGCCAGCCTGGCTTTTCTGTAGGAGGAAACAAGGATCAACGGCAGGTCATTCTATTTCATCCCTAGGTTTTAATTTTTTTTTTCCCAGTTACTGTCCGGAGGTTTGGGTTTTAGTTTCTTTCACTAAAAGTTTTCACCGATACTCCGATGTCACGGTTGCTACTTATTTCCTCAAACCTCTGAGGACTGACGTTGGACGCAACAGTTTCAGTGTCTTTTCCATGAATAAAAACATAGAACCCGCCCACTTTCCAACATGCAAGAACAAGAAAGGGGAGAAGGAAGGAAGAAAAACGCAAACAACTCTTCCGGAATCCCCAGGACAGAATTTTCCACCCACGTTCGAGCTTCGAGTGTCTCAGTTATTCTCCCCAGAGCCCATTCACCGCGGCTTCCCCCGCCTTTCCCCAAGGCCTCACCTCTCATGACGATGAGCGGACAGAGCCGCTGGCCGCGATTGCAGAACGAGAGAGAGATGTGGCCTTACGGCCCTCCGTCTGGGCCATCACCTTCAAACCCCAGTGCCAGCTACCCCGGCCCAGTTCGGAGGCGGAGGCGGCGGCGGCGGCGGCGCGCGCGCTCCCAGGACGTCCTCACGCGCGCGTGCCCGTCCCCGTGCAACGCGTTGAGGGGCGCGGCGAGCAGGTTGCCCTGCGGGCACCTAGCAGCTTAGGGTGTTGGCTTGTTGGGGGGGTGGCGGGGGGCTTGGGCTGCACCTGAGAAGGCATCCTGAGGTTCAGGCGTCTACATTAAACAAAACTACTGACACATGTATGCACATGTATGGGACACCTGCCATACATACACCTTGTGGACAACTTAAGGTTAAAAATGTTTTGGCTTCGAGACCCTGCCTTCGGAGGAGGGGCCTAAAGTCGGGGACGTCCTAGTCCCGCCTCTGGCTCATACCGAGGGTCCCAGGCCCACCCTCCGGAGGCTGCCCATCCCGCTGACCCCAATTCACGCTTGCCTCGGGGGACGGGATTTGGAGGAGCCACGTTGGCCAAGGGTTCTGCGCGTCCCTGGGCGGAGCGAGAGCATTAGGGTTTCCGCATTCGGGTTCCGTGAGCCTGACTCCTGGCCTAGTTGTGGCTGGAGGTGGCGAAGGTTAAGCTGATCAGGGTTTTCCTTGCAATCCCGAAGTTGCGCTGTGCGAACTGGGCCCTGCCCAAACCTGAGGGGAACAGAAGCAAAGAGAAGTGGCGGGGAGTGTAGGCAAGGGTGGACCTTGAAATGAGAGTTTAAAAACTTTGTGCGGGGTATAGGGAACTCTGTACTGTCTTCACTGTAATTCTGTTAGCGTAAATCTGTTCTAAAACAAAGAGTTTATTAAGAAAAAGCTTAAGCAAATGAAATAAACAGAAGACTTCTGCCACTTGTTCCCCAGGCTAACAGTATTTTAAAGGATAATAAATGTATTCCATGAATCTCCCCTGCCCTCCACAACCACCCATGGCTTTTCCATTCTGAACTTTATGCTTTTAATTTATAGACATTCATGTCAAGTAAATACCTCTTGATAGCCTTCCCACAGGTCTTTAAATTTTCTATTCCGTGTGGACTGACTACTTAGATAAGGGGTTCAGTCTTTCTCTTCACTAAAGAGGAGTAGTTTGCATACAAATACACACTTAATGAGTTGAATATCTAATGGAAAGAGTGATACTTTGTCTTTTTATTGGTCACTACATGATGTAAAATCATTCACGACAGTTTTACCCTAGTTCACTGCTGTGTGATTTTTGAGGCGCCTGAACCATGACATTGTTTGTATTTTATTTTCTCCTGTATCAGTAAAACCAAATCCACTGTTTAACTTCAATTATCTGCTTTGACACTGTGCTTAAATCAAATTAGTTCTGTTACCAAACCATTTTTTTTTTGGTTAGGTAAAGCACATTTCCCCTCTCAGCCAGTATTAGACCTGCTTTTCACTATCGATTAAGATACTAGCTTATTTTTGTTTGTTTGTTTGTTTGGTATTCCTAAATCTCCATGAATGTAAGTCTTTGCTAATGTTTGTCTTCCCAACGAATTAGGTTTCTGGGTCAGTGAGGCAGCCTTAGTCCTTTTGGGCTTCAATATTATAGACTGGGTGGCTTATAAAAAACAAATTTATTTCCCGCAGTTTGGGAGCCTGGGAAGTCCAAGATGAAGACGCCAGCAGATTTGGTGTCCGGTGAGTACCAGCTTCCTGGTTCATAGACAACTGTGGTTTTGTTTTGTTTTGTTTTGTTTTCCTTTTTACTCAAATGTGGTCTTTTTGCTCCGTCCTCACACATGGTGGAAGGGTAGAGGGAGCTCTTTGTAATATTTTTAGAAAGGCTCTAATCTCATTTAAGGAGGCTCTGCCCTCATGACCTAATCACCTACCCCCACCTCCTAATACTATCACATTGTGGGTTAGGATTTTGACATGTGATGGGGGGACAGTTAGAATTTTGACAGTTTGTGGGGGACACAAATATTTGGTCTGTAACAAAGGCTGAGGGCAAAGCTCTGGGCTGAAGTGAATTTTCAAGGAGACTTACTTGTATATATTCTGTCATGTCAACTACAACATGGGTATTTTTCTTTTAAACTTTAAAATGTATGAGAATTTAGGAAACAAAATAGAGACTCAGTCCCATGTAATCTAGCTACAGCCACAGCGGGGCATCCGTATGTTTTAGTATATTAATAATTTTTATTAATGTAATTTGGTACATTTGTGAATTAAGTACATTTGTATACCTTAACCTAATGTTTAAATTCTTGTTTTAACATATTCATAACACTTTGAAGGTATATTAGTAAAAAGTACTCAGTACTCAGTAAGAAGCACTGAGTTGATGACAAGATTTGACAGTGACAAGCTTGTCTGTCACTTTCTACAGTGTTCTTTCCACTGGCATCTAAAATGTTGGAAATGGATATTTAATTAATTAAAAAAAGCATTTACTGAGTACTTAATATCAAAAATTGTACAAGATGTTGGATAAATAAATATTAAAAAAGACATAATCCCCACCCCACAGGTCTCCAAGAAATAATTATAGTATATTGGAATAAACTCTATAATTGAAGATTATTTAGGATACAATGGAAGCAAGAAGTGGTAGTGTGTAACTTTGTCAGGCAAGAAATGCTTCATTAAATTTGTGGCACTTGAGATGAATCTGGAAGAGTAAGTTGAAATTTTCCAGGACACCAGCACTAATAGGACATTCCAGATAGAGACAATATTGTTTGTAAAGTTGTGTTATTGAAATACCATAGCCCTTCGAAGGACTCATATTTTTGAAAGAGTAAGGTGCATATGAAGGAATAGTAGGAGGAAATAGGGGCTAGAATATGAAAGATTTTGTGGGTCTCATTTAGGAATTTGTTCTATAGTTTATTCTAATAGCCAAAGGGAATCTATTGAACTTTAAGCAGCTAGTTATGTGAACAGTTTGTGTTTTCCAGAAAATGGACACACTAATAGTTTACAAGCTATTATCAATGTAAACTCAGTTAGGAGACTATTACAAGTAGTCCAAGTAAGAGATGAGAAGGTCTGTGTGTGTGTGTGTGTGTGTGTGTGTGTGTGTGTGTGTGTGTGACTTTATGTATTTATTTTTAGAGAGTGCTGAAGTAATTGCTTTTTTGCATTTTATCCAGAGTATTTAGTTATAATCAGCAGTGGAGATAGGCTTTAGTGGACTGCTCCTTCTTGGCTGGCTCAGGAGTCTCTAAATACTTTATTTCTTACATGAGCTATTTCATGTCTATCTTGTCCACTACACTCAGTGACAGCAGGGACTATTTTAGTTTTGTTTATTACTGTATCCCTGTGCCTAGTGCAGTTCTTGGTGTATAATGGTAGCTAATAAATATTTATTGAATAAATCTGCCCTGGCTGGTGTGATGCAGTGGATTAAGTGCCGGCCTGCAAACCAAAGGGTCGCCAGTTTGATTCCCAGTCCGGACACATGCCTGGGTTGCAGGCCAGGTCCCCAGTAGGGGTCATCGGAGAGGCAACCACACATTGATGTTTCTCTCCCACTTTTCCCCTCTGGCTAAAAATAAATATATAAAAAGTGTTGGGGAAAAATAATAAAACCCTTCTTATTAAAATAAATGAATAAATATTTATTGAATAAATGAATGAATGGATACTTTTCAGACTTCATCTACGTGATCTGTTGCAGCATTCTACAGTGGATTGTTCTCACTTAAACCTTCTTCCCTAGGCTTCCATATACTGTATTCTACTGGTTTTCCCACTTCTTTAGCCTTTCTTTATCGTCAAGCTGCTACCTCCTTATGAACCTTACAGATTCAAAAATTGCTTTTGAAAAGGGGATACCTATGTAGTCAGTACACATATGCACAAGTTCAGCCTTAGTAATTACTCTAATAAAAACCTCAGTCACCATTTTATTATCCTAGACCAGAGTAGGTATTTTTTTTAACTGCATGGTGATAACTCCTCTTCTCTCCACTTGTTACTTGTTATTAGAGCCTACAAACTCTTTTCCCCTGTTTATCTAGTTTATTTTTACTTTCTTACACAAATGCTTGCTAGAATATAATTTGCAAACGTTAAAAACGTGACTCTTATTCAAATATAAAAGGAAAATATTTCAAATATTTTATTTAACTTATTAAATAATGAGAGAACATTTATAAGACATTAAGACTGGTTCATAGAGAAAGTCAAGGAACAGAAAATTTATATAGTCAAAAGAATGGTGAAATAAAATTGTCAGTGCAAATTCCTCCAAGGCAAGAGACCTAATAGTTGCGGTTGCTTTTTTTGCAGATGCAAAACAATTAAATCTCTACCAGGAGAATTTATATTTGTTGTGCCAAGGACAGGAATCATTTGCATTGCTCTATGACAGGAAGTACAGTTGCTTTGTTATCAGTTGTCTACAGGTTAACCACTGTCCCTAGAAAGTTGTCAAATAACCTAGTCAAGAGAAAGTCAAATGAGGATGCACACCCCTACCTAATCAGGTAATTCCCAGAAGGTCTGCTAAATTACATCCTGCATTCCATTGAAAGGATCCCAGTAATCTGTTTTGCTATTTTCAAGTTTTGGATATATTTTCTGAATATTCTTTACCCTAGACAAGAAAACTTTCTCTTTTCCTTTGTACCTGTCCCCCTTCACTCATAGAATGTTTTTTCTCTTCTTGTGCCCAGTTATTATCTCTTTCTTTCTTTTAATCTGCACCTCAACCTGTGTCCTTTGAATACATTTTCGGTTTTTTCCCTTCTTTCACCATTATGTGATGTGGCTGACCCTCAGTTGTTCATTCTCTAAACATTTGAAGAGTAATTTGTAGTTTTAGTTTTTCATTTGGGGGGATAGTGAGAGGGTATTGTATTTATAAAAATGGTCTTTATTTGTCTGGCATATGTATATTCTGAGTTTTACTTTAAACTCTGGGTATAAACTACAATTGATTTTTTTTTAAACAAAAGTTGTATCTACTAAATCAGGGAATGTAAATACGTAGCACCTATGGTACCATTCCTACTGCCCATACCTCAGGCAGATATTGACAATTAACAGCAAACTCATTCTTTTCCA